AGTTTTATTTTTAGACAAATAATTAAAATTATTGTTTCTATTTTGAAACAAAATCTCGTAATTAATTATATTCACTCTCAATGTACTGTATATTTCTCACTGCATTCTCCTATTTAATAATGCCATACAATACCACTCAATTAAATCCCATCCCATTATCGCACAGTAATCTCATTTAATCCCTGCCAACCCATTCCCACACAGCATATCATGTGTTCATATACTGTAATGTTATCTCCCGTACACTCCCTACCAATTAATCCCATTCCCAAGTCTGCCGTTAATCCGCTTTTATTCTGTGATTTACATAATAATCATAATATTATTTCTCAATAATATTCTTAATATATCTCATGTATTATTTAATGTTTATTAATATGTAGTATATATTTAGTGTATATTATTCTTGTGGTTCAAATTGACTTCTCTATTGGTAGTGGACATAAGCAAACAAAACAGCACACAGTATATAATGCCTTGCATTCGCATTGGCCAACAAATATGACAGAATATTCTGGACCCGGAATATTCATATCTAAAAAATAATAATAATTTTATTGTAAGCCGAATGCAAGCGTCGTTTTGGTATCCAGAATTTAGTAGCCAATTAACCCACATTATCCACACCCACACACCGGGAACTGGACAGGCAACTTTACTGTATGCCTGGTTATATTCTCGCGCTGCGCTCTACCGATATGATTTATAAATCAATTATAAAATATCATAATATCCGCCACTTTATGTCTCATTCCCGAGACGTTTGAGGGGTAAACCCGACGGAGAAGATGTACATTTCGTTTTGTATTCACTATTCATTGATTTATTATTATTTATTTCAATTCAATTGGTAGTCGTTTTTGTTTTGTGTTTTAATTTTGAATTTAGTTTTTAAAATGAGTTCAGTTTTCAGTTTTTTTTGCAAATGTATTAAATAGTAGTTGTTTTATCAATTTAAATAACTATGTTAAAAGCAAATCTTAAATTAATTTTACCATTCATATTTCATTTATGTGGCGGCTATTTACAAACCATTGGGCATTAATTCAGGCGCTTTCCTAATACCCAACTATATATGTGTGGTATTCGTGGGAATACCGATGTTTTTGCTGGAGGTATCGCTCGGCCAGTATCTGAACACCGGTGGGATTGCCATCTGGAACTTAGTGCCCATATTCAAAGGTCGGTACCTATTGTTTGACACAACAAATATATGATCATGACAATTTTAATTTATAAATAACCACAAAACATGGTAATAATAAAATCTAGGTAATAAATAATTAATTTTTTCAATTAATGGTATAGGAATCGGGTTCGCGTCGATGACCATGATCGGTTTATGCAACATATATTACATAATACTGATCGCGTGGACACTATTCTACCTGGTCAGTTCGTTCACGGCGGAACTGCCCTGGAGCAG